CAGCGCCGGCCGGTGCTCCCCGGCGAGGCCCCGCGTCCCCTCCCCGGGAGTACCGGGAGCAGCCGGGCTCCGCCGGGCAGGGCCCTGGGCCGCGGCAGCCCGGCCGGGAGCAGCCCCGGCGCTGGCAGGCGAGGTGACCTCCGAGGGCCTCGGGAACGGAAAGTGGCTCCCACGGAGCGGGACCGGCGCCCCGTGCCGGGGGAGCGAGGGAGGGTTTGGGTTGGTGACCGGACAAAAAGGGCTCTCGGGGCTGTCGGGGACCGTTGCGGTCCAGCGGTGGCGGATCCCCAGTGCCCGGGGAGCGGTAACCCAGGGGCTCCCGGGAGCGTCCTCTTGGGCAGGTGACCTTTTGGAAAGAAAGTCCGCGGTACGATTCAGTGAGCCAAAGGAGCGTTTTTACTGCAGGCAGGTACAAAGATCAGCGTGTTTCTCGGTTAGCACCAGTCACTTCATTTGCGATGTCGGACTCGGCAGGCCAACAAGTTTGGAAATTGCAGGCTTTGCTGGGCCACAGAGTAGTTCAAGCTACTCTTACTTCAGTTTCCCTGCTGTAAGGCAGGGACGGTATTTCCCCGCACAAGCTGCGATGATCCATCAATTAATAAAAAGACAGTGATGTGCAGTTGCAAGATGCCAGCTAAAATGACACTGCAGTTTTCCTTCAAAATGTAACCTGTGCCAAACTCTGCATTTACATTAAATTTGTTATTCTAAAGTCGCTGTAAGGGGTTCACGTCAGTGCGTATTGTTTGCCCTCTCCTTGGACAAGTCCCTGATGCTGGAAAAGTCAGCTTTGCCAGTCATTTTTGTAGCAACAGCATAAACGTTATATTGTTGGCGTGGAGCCATGGTGAGTCAGGCTTGGCTTTGGGCAGCCGCCTGGATTGAGAGAGAGACTGGGAGAGAAGATCGGTCTGAAGTCCAGGGTAGAGAATACTGGCATGGGCAGCCTCAGGAGCGCCAAGACCGGTCCCAAGTCTCGCATGCCAGCGCAGCCTGAAATGCCGTAACAATACGGATGTAGCCTAGAAATAAGCAATATTTGCCAAAGGGGCTGGCAGGACCTGGAAAGCTGGTGATGAGGGAGAGTAAAGCTGCATGTACTGCGGCATCCTTTGGGTCTATGGATGGTGGGAAGGTGCTGTTACTCCACAGAGAGGGCTGCTTCTGGGGGTAGTTGGATATACAGGCTTTTATATGACTACTCCTGTGTCTCCAAGGGACTCGATTACTTCGTGCATTAAGATGGAGGCAAATCTATTAGAGAAATAAATTGGAAAAAATATTGGCAGCTGTAGTTCTAGCCACTTTTCGATTCTTGCACTTGAATTTTCGGCATGTTTCACATATCTGTCTTTGACCCTTCAAAAACACACATGCACTAGACAGCTCATTGCCCATCATTGGAAAGCACTGGTGACAGTCTGCTAGGCAGGCAGCTTGCTCATCTATTGCCTGTGGAAAGCTGCCTGAGGATAATGATTAGGCAAATGTTAATGATTTGTCAGCATTTCTAGTTCATTTATTTTTATCAACACACTGAGCTTATAACTAGAGACAATATTGATCAGTGCAGCTATTGACACACTTACTTCTATCTCCCCCTGCCCACACCTCATGTCTTGAGTCTAACTGAGGAGGGAGAGACTAGCTTGTATCGTGTCCTGTAGAAAAGGTCACAGCAGCAGCTCTGGGTGCTACTCACATATCCCTAATAAATCATGAGGATGAATGCTTTGCTTTGGTGTTATTTTAGTGATATGGTTTAACCACTTTTCTCTATATTAACCTTCTGTATGGGATTTTGGTGGTGGATCACGGGGAGCTCAGAAGTTAAAGGGCAGCTGATTTCTCCAGGGCTAGGATCAACCGGCTACATTGTGCTGGTCTCAGCAGAGGGGGAAATAGAGGATTGTCAGAGCCACAGGAAGGCAGTTCTTGCCCTTTAGTGCTCTAAGCTGCTTGGACAAGTCCCAAGCACTGGCCGTTTCCAGCTGCACGTGATAATAGATTGTCAATGGGAATTTGTTTTCGAGTTCTCTAGCCATCTGTAGTAAACAGCGGAAGAACACTGGCTGCTGAGACCTCCTGTCTGATGGCACAGAGCAACTGGTAGGGATAGCAGAACACGTTTCCCGACTGGTTCAGGTCTTCCTGTTGATCTTGCCTTTCTGGAAAGATTCTCTCAAGCAAGCTTCAGGCAAAATCTGCAAGAGGGACTCGTTCTGGAGGTAAAGGAGATTCATCTCCAAAGCAGACACAGTGCAGAGCACAGGACAGCTTCCTCCCACCTGCATTCCCTTAGCCAGGACCTCACAGCCAGTGAGACGATACTCTGCACTCAGTGGCCCATTTCATCCTCGACTTCTCTCCTGACTTAACTATGAAGGAGATGGCTGTGGATTATGGATTTCCTTCTTTTTCAAAATTGAAGACCCACCATTTTACTCATTTTCATTGTTTGTACCACATGCATCTCAAAGGTCTCTGAGCTGTCGTAGCACCCTTGAGAAGTCACAGTTTTATGGTATTGTGACCCCAGCTCAGGACTCAGTGACCCAGAGAGCAGGTTACACCCTTTAAACTATCTCGGATCAGGATGTTACGTACAATCTTTGTGATTGCTGAGTTTTTGGGTTTGTTTTTTTTCCTCAGCATCTGCTTTTGCTTGGAGACCTTTTGCCTCCTAAGCCAAAACCAGCAGAGAACCTGAGATCCCCACTGGAAAGGCTGTTGAAAGTTGTAGGTCAGAACACAGTGGGTCAGAAGGAATTTGGAATCAGAACATGATCCTGCAGGTTGCCTGCAGGTATAGTTCCCAAAGATACTTATAGCAAGGAGAAACTATTGATCAAATTCAAGTAAAGCCAAAAGACAAGTTCAGCACCAGTGCCTGCTTCTGCCAGTAAGGTTTTGTCCACTTACGCTAGAGTGAGATTTGGCCCAGGGAGATGAGGTGAGTGTACCACAGGAGTGATCCAGCGTGGCTGTTCCTCCATTGCTGAGCGAGGAGCAGTTCTGCCGATCTCCACTTGCTTATTGAGAGGCTCCTTTCTGTGTTGGGTTAATTCCTTGGCCAACTCTTTGACCCTTGTGCTGAAGCATGCGCTCAGAACATGGAAGGAAGAAAAGAGCTTTGATTTCCAACTTGTGCTGCCTTCATATTTGCATGGAAATCCATTCTGCAGCACAGGGAGGGATCAGAAGTCTCGGTCACAGCTGTCCTGCTGTCACCCACAGCAACCGTTTGGTGCCCGAATTTGAAAAGTTACCTCATCCACAGCCTTAACTGATCTTTCGTACAGGTATCATGGCCCAGGCAGTGGCTGAACAGAGCATCTGAAGGGGGAGGAGGGAAGGTGCTTGATCCACCCTAGGTGCCTTTGGGGATAGCAATTAAGGTGAGGAAAGGGAGTTAAAAAACTTTTCCACCCTGTATTGATACGGTAGGAATGAAGGAAAGAGAGACCACCAGAGGTTTTAGAGAATCGGAGAGCTGGAGACACAGACAAGTGTCCCAGTCTTCGCAGCTGCAGGATAAAGATCAGAAACAGAATATAGTTAAGGACATTTTGCAACAACTTCCCCAGCAATGGCTGCTCAGCTGCGGCACAGAGAACAACTGACTCCACTGATGTTCTCACTGCCAGCAGGGACATACGTACTGATAAGACACAGGTTTTACATCAAAAATAAACATTTCAACACAATTTTTGTGCGTCCATGGAAATATATAGAAGAGTTCACATTAGGGTTGCTTCTAATGTGATTTGACCCTTTGAAAGTGAAGTGGCATTGTTGGTCTTCAGTCCCTTCTTCTAAATACCCCCAAGGCTCCAGCAAGCCATCCTTCAGTGCCAGTGAGTGAGTCCTAATACTAGAGCCATGAGATTTTTTTCAAATAAGAAAATAAACAGGAATAGCTTCCCCCAGTTTGCCTTGCTCATCCTTCTTTATCCTGTACTAAAACCAAAGAAGGGCAAAAGTGTCTTGCCTTTTTCCAGGTTAGTCACTCATACTTTTTTGTGACAGATGTGGAATGGTTTGGGTGAGTCCGTCCCAGGGAGCTGGATGTATAGATGTCCAGCACATGCATAAACCTTGCTTTACGCTGCACTCAAAGGGAAGCCAAACCAGTCTGTATGTTTCTCTGTGGCTTCTGATCCACTTCACAGTCTAGTTCAAGGACTTACATGAAGCTTCTGGCTTGGTGCTAGAGAGAAACATTCAGCTTGAACATGAAACTTCACTTGGAATAGTGGCAAACAGAATTACAGGCACAAGATGCAGGGCCACCAGATCCCACTGGGGCCATACAAAGGACTGTCCCAACAGTAAATTTTCTGGTGGTTTATCCAACCCACTCTGAAGGAAACCAAGCAATGTGGTTTCTGCCACTTCCCTTTCAGAGGGCCTTTGTCAGCCAGATAACCCCTGCAATGAGGCAACATTTTTTGCTGCGTAGCCTCATTTCCAAACATGTTTCATGTTAACTCATTCCCACAGGGTTCCCTGGGGCTGGGGATACCAAGGAATTAAAGCCATACTGCCAGAGAGGCCAAACTGCTGCAGGTTCTTTTGAGGTCAGCAAGTGACAGGCTGTAAATACAACTATCAACATTCTGCTGGTACAACAGCTTTGCAGGACACTTGCCAATGTGCCTTTCTCAATGCATCTTTTTTTCCCCTCTGCTTATAGCTGTCCTGATGTCCTTGTAAATTCATCCTGGAACTTCATTTGAGGAAAGGATCTACTGAATCAAAAGCTTCCTTCTGCTCTTCCCCTTCCCATAACTTCCCTCAAGATGGCATCCGATAGCCCCGAGTCACTAATGACCTTGTGCACCGATTACTGCCTTCGCAACTTGGAGGGGACTCTCTGCTACCTACTGGACAATGAAACTCTCCGGCTTCATCCTGACATCTTCTTGCCAAGCGAGATTTGTGACAAACTTGTCAATGAGTACGTTTCAGGCCTGTGGAGAAGCTGTTGTCTGGTTTGGGAAGAAGCCAGGAGCTCAGGGAAGGGGGAGTATAGTTCTCTAAAAAGAGTGATGGGAAAGGGGGGGGAAAAAAAAGGGAAAGAATTCATAGGGTTGCTTTTTTTTTTTTTCCAATTGATCCTCATATTAGAAATAAGGATTTGCATTAACTTCAGAAGGAAGTGTCCCCAGGGACTAATGTACTGCTATGTATCATTCTAGTTTCTGTGGAAATCACCATTTCCACATAGGTAAACCCAGAGTGAAACAGTCACTGCTTCTTCCAAGAACATCAGTAAGCAATAAAGGAGTCTTTCTATTTCCCACCACTGAAGCATTAAAGCTCGCTCTCAAACCAGAGAAAGAAGAGTGCAAAGTGCTAACAGATGTTAAATTTTAAGGCTACTGCTCCCACAGCTTTCCAAAGCAACCTGTTTCCATGGATTTATATAATTTGGCTATCACAGTCTCTCTTGGCTGAACTCCTGCCCACAAAGTCTGGCAGAGAACTTTGGCCAGGTAATTTTCTGAAAAGTGAAAAAAATCAAATTACTAGCTTTAAACAGCTAGGGAAAAAAAAAATCTTGGAGTCTGTACTTGCCAGAATCCAGTTTGCTCACATACACACACGACCTTGCACAAATCTTTGCCTGAGATTTTCCTAAGGACCATTAGTTCTGTGCAAGAAGAGGTAATAGGACAGCTCCCATTACTCCAAAGGCTACTCTGGATGATTAGGAGGGAGTGTGTGTGTGCTTACACACTTGGTCACATTCTCTTCTAACCAGTGAAGGTGCTAGAGCTGTAGCAGAGCCTTTGTGTCGTGCTGTGCTAATGCCATTACCCCAATGCAGGTACGTGGAGTTGGTGAAGACGGACAGCATCTTTGAACCCCATGAAAGCTTCTTCACCCTGTTCTCAGATCCCCGGAGCACCAGGCTAGCTCGGATCCACTTGCGGGAACAGATTGTGCAGGACCAGGACCTGGAGGCCATCAGGAAGCAGGTGGTATTGCACTGACAGCTCCCAGCTGCCACTTTGCACAGCAGCATTGCTGCATGGGCACCAGCTAGAATCCCAGGCACCCAGAGATTCCCAAGACTCCATCCTTCACCATCCAAATTTTCTTTGGGAGAACCTCAGCTTCTCCCTTCTCAGCTCCAAGAATCAATGGAGGGAATGGGATGGGGACACTGGTCAAGTAAGGTGATACAAGGTCTCAGGCTCTCCCAGTGGGAGGTGGTGTAGCAAACAGGGTGGGCACTCTACCTGTGAAATATTTCTAACTTCAATTTCCCATCTTCCAGGATCTTGTTGAACTCTACCTGACTAACTGTGAGAAGCTGACAGCCAAGAGTCTGCAAACCTTGGTGAGCTTCAGCCACACACTTATCTCCCTTAGCCTCTTTGGCTGCTGTAATATCTTCTATGAGGAGGAGAACCCTGGAGGCTGTGAAGATGACTGTTTGGTGAACCCCACTCGCCAGGTCTTGGTCAAGGACTTTACTTTTGAAGGCTTTAGCCGCTTGCGCTTCCTGAACCTGGGCCGCTTGATCGAAGGGGTAAATGTGGAAACATTGCTTCGGCCTTTGGCCTCCCTTGCAGCTCTTGATCTCTCTGGGATCCAGCTGAATGACGTAGGATTTCTGACCCAGTGGAAGGACAGTCTGGTTTCCTTAGTGCTTTACAACATGGACCTTTCAGAGGAGCACATCCAAGTGATCGCACAGCTTCGCAAGCTCAGGTTAGCAGATCTGTTCTTCCTTGTTTATCCTTTTCCTACTAATAGTGAGTGGTCTACTTGCCTGCTAACAGAGAGCCACCCACTGCTGGTTTCAAGTTATAAACCTTCCCATGAACAGGCTCACTCATTGACTCACTATACATATCTGACATGTCTAAAGCCAGCCTCCATTTTGCTTGCAGAAGGACACCGTTTAGCAGAAACTCCCTCTCAGAAAAACAAAAACCATCACATACACCCCAAAAAAAGAAAAAAAACCCCAAACTAACCACCCCCCCAGCCAAACAAAAAAGAACAGCAGAATACCTGAGACAGCAAAAAATTTACTACAGATGTGTACATAAACTAATATAGCAGTAATCACACTGTGAATCTCAGTCCTCCAAACCACTTGTCAAACAGGATTGTCCAAAGTTTAATTCTAATTCTGAGGTAAAACTAGGAAAAGCTCTGAGCTCAGACTGTCTACTTGCTGTGCTCTGTGGAAGCACACTGTGCATGGATGGCGCAACCAAGGGAACAAGCAGTGTAAATAAATAGGCACTCCTGACCTAACAGTGTTGACAGTGAAATGACTTCCTGAAACAGAGTTGAGACAATTGCTATTCAAACTGCACAGTGGTATCAGGAAAGGGATCCAGGACTTTAAAAGCCAAAGAGAAGGGCCTTACTATTCACACGAAGGATGCTTTGCAATGGCTTTAGTATCATCTCTACTGACTGCAGACACTAGGGGGTACCATGTTAACATATGACCTGGAGTCTCAGAACATCCTGGATAACATTTTCAAAATCCAAGTTCTTTTACTCCCAGTGACTTGCAGTGAAACTTGGTCTACAACAGGTAGAAGACACTTTTGTGAGTAAGATGTTGGCTCCTGTCTTAGGCAGTTTGGAAAAGTCTCTGTCAAGGGTCTTAGCTACTGCTTGGCAGGCAAGAGCAGCCCCTGTCCTGTAAGGGACCCCACCTGCACGTGATGGCTGGTCAGTTTATCCCACCAGTCACTCAGCATCAGGGCTTCCCCAAAGCTTAAGCATTTAAATACCTGAATGAAATCAGGGCAGTGTAGTAGCCTGGGGTGGAAAAAATACAAGATTGGGGAAGCAGACAAAAACTTGTGTAACTTAATTTGTGGGATGAGGCAACATATGTTTCTGAGGATGCAAAGATCCTCTAGTGCATCTTAATCACCAGGCAGAAATGCTCAGGTGGCTGCTGTGATGGAGCTTGGGAAAGGCAGTTCCTGAGCCGGAAGGAGTTTCCTTTGTGATGTGTGGCTAAATGATTCATTGTGCTCCATTCCAAGTAGACCTCTACCAGATATTTGTGTGCTTTGGTTAAACACAGGGCCAGATCCTGGCTGCTGGATCCTACAGAACCACATTCCTGTATCTTGTGAAGAAAATAATTATAATAAAAAATAAATACAAAATAATAATCACACTTGGCTTGTCATCTTCCTCTGGTAGAGAGGCAGAAGCCCCAGCTAACGCTTTCCAGGCTCTGAGTTGCTCTCTGTCATTTGCAGGCACTTGGATATCTCCCGAGACCATCTGTCGAGTTATTACAAATTCAAGCTGACCCGGCGGGTTCTAAACCTATTTGTGGAAAACCTGGTAAACCTCACCTCGCTCGATATCTCAGGGCACACCATGCTGGAGAACTGCACTATCCCAAGCATGGAGGAGAAGATGGGCCAGACAAGGTAAGGAAGCAGCAATTACTGAGGTCTGCTTGGATGGATAGATCAGTCAAAGATGAATTAAGAACCGTTCCCTCTCCTAAGTTTCCAAATTCTGTAGGTCTAATTAAAAAGCAGGATACAACTGTTCCTAGTTTCTCCTGACACTAAAGACTGGTATGGGAATCAGCTGTGATTCCTATATGTGACACATGTAAGGACTTTTAAGAATAATAAAGAATTCATTCTATCTGCCTGCCATACATATCTGAAGAAGTATTTTGGTTCTTCTCCGCACACATTCTTCCAGGGATCTCTTGCAGTGGTTTATATTTTTTCTGAAAGGACTCCAAAGCCCTTCACCCATTTTCTACACGAAACATTCTTACCCTCACTGAAATCCAGGCTTTTCCAAGACAGAACATTTCTACACTGAGTCAATACATCAGTGTTCATAGGAGGGCTGAGTGTTTTAGGAACTTGGAATCTGAAGGCATATTTTCAGATTTGACCTGGATACTGGGCAAATCAACCTTTGAAAATCCTGGTGCACTTCCGAAGGGGCATACCTAGAGTTCTGGTTTTCCAGATCAGCCAAGAACTCTGCCGTCCTATTCCCTGGCTACTTACTGAACAAAAGCAAACAAGTGGGACAGTACTGGCTCCTTTCCACCAGAGCTGATGAAAAAATACTGGCTCTTGATCAATAAGGAACATGGCAAAACTAGTCTTCTTGCACGATCACAGGAGCAGACTAGCATGTCTATCAGATGACATGCAGTCCAGTTTGCAAATACTTTGGATCAGTGAAATTGACAGCCCTTTTTTAAGAGGAAATGTTCACCCCAGCTAGTGAATTTCCAGGAAAAATTGTACCCGGGAAAGCTGCATTCTGTCTGTGTGAATTCTTACTGCTGTTTCTGTTCAGCACATTTAGCCCTTCACTCAGGATCACCTGGGATGAATATCTAGTGTTATGTTTAGGAGAAGCTGGCTGATGTACAACTGAAGTGTAGCTATTGTCACTCTAGTTAAGACACAGTACAGTCAGAGTGAACGGAGAGCTGATAGCTGTGTCTGTGGCAGGAGACATCTGAACACAGTACCAACATGAGTGATCTCTTTTTTTTTTTTCCCCCCTCAGCATTGAACCAGCAAAGAGCAGCATTGCTCCCTTCCGGGGTCTGAAACGACCGCTCCAGTTCTTGGGCCTTTTTGAAACATCTCTTTGCCGCCTGACTCATATTCCAGCCTACAAGGTAATGAGGCCACAAAAATATTGGCAGTAGGTACTTGGTAGAAGTGAAAAGAACATGAAAATTACTGGCTGCCAGTAGAGTGGAGTTCTTAGGGTCTCAGGTGCAGCAACTGAGCTCTGACCTTTCAATAGCTACTTGATAATGCAGGAAAACTGCCAGAAGACAATACCTGTACCTCACATGGTTTTTACAAGGGTTAAAAAACATGCTTCTTAGAGAAGGGCATGGAAGAATCTTCCATGAAGGACCAGGATGTCTGTGACTACAAGAAAAGGACTTAAGACAATAGGAGTCTTACTTGTGACTAGCATCCTCCTGCCCCAGAGGTGCCATTTCTCATTCCTCTGGGCTGAGAAGTGACTCAGCCTCTTTGCTCTCATCCTGGGCCTAATCCTACTAGCAGGACAGAGGGAAGTTTTATGCTTCGACCTTTCAGAGATCCTTTCTCATGTTGGTTGTCCTCCTCCATCATTTCTTCCCTGACTCTTTTTGTTCCTTTATGCCAGGTGAGTGGAGACAAGAATGAAGAGCAAGTCCTGAATGCTATTGAGGCTTACACTGAACACCGGCCAGAAATCACTTCCCGGGCCATCAACCTCCTTTTTGACATTGCCCGTATTGAACGCTGCAGCCAGCTGCTGCGAGCCCTTCAGGTAAGCCCCATGCTAGCATTTACTTCACCCTGACAAAGGAAATTTTGCAGTCCCAATCTTTTCTTCACCCTGGGACACCATATCAGGCCATTCTGGAGAAAGTTCCAGTAGTGCAGTGGAACTGGGTACCTTCATTTTGTAAGCACGTTCCTGCAATGCCTGGGCCACGCATTCCTTGCAGGCTTGTAACAGTCACTCCAAGACTCACAACATGTCAGTGGCACTTCATGTTGCTTCTCTGCAGCTGGTGATCACAGCCCTCAAGTGCCACAAGGATGACAAAAACATCCAGGTGACAGGCAGCGCGGCACTGTTCTACTTGACCAACTCCGAGTACCGCATGGAGCAGAGCGTAAAGCTGCGGCGTCAGGTCATCCAGGTGGTGCTGAATGGCATGGAGTCCTACCAGGAAGTCACAGTAAGAGCAGCCCAGCCTCCTTCAGCTCCCGTAGTCCTTCTTCTCTGTATTGAGACTTTAGCCTGGTGTTAGCATCTGGGTCTTCTAAGCCTTCAGGATGTGAACCAAGGCAGACACCAGAGAACCTGTTGCCCAGATCTGCTCCTCACCTTCACTCAGTGATGGGGATTGCATGCAGGGTGCTCCTTATCCACGTGGCGTTCTCCAGAACAAGGGGAAGAAAGTGATGATAGCAAGGCTCCTTTTTATCTGATAATAGTGGTCAAAGGGTGTATACAACACACAGCATAGATGTCTAGCACTGACCGTGCAGTGAAAAGGGTGCAGGCGCTAGGGGTGTCGAGTCAACAGAAAGAAACTTCATCTTCCACCCTACCGGAAGCTAGCTGACATTGTGATGCCACTAGGTTGCAGAATGGCGACTGCTGCATAGAGAGCTTACAGGCAGTGAGGAATTGGCTAGGAAAGTAATGGGCATTGGATGATTATGCAGCCCTGTGAGACGAGACTGACAGGGAGAGAATACAGGGTATTGATAGAGCACAGCTAAAGCACAGTGCTAGATGGGAGGGTAACAGAAATTTTAGCGGTCATAGTCAAGGAAGAAGATGGTTTCAGTACCAAGCAGCAAGGAAACATGAGGTGATGGGGTCCATGTTTTTGTAGCCACTTGGCCCAGTGTTTGCTTCCTTTTGACCCAGGTACAGCGAAACTGCTGCCTGACACTGTGTAACTTCAGCATTCCTGAGGAGCTGGAGTTCCAGTACCGCCGAGTCAATGAGCTGCTGCTGAACATCCTCAATCAAAGCCGGCAGGATGAATCTATCCAGCGCATCGCTGTGCACCTCTGTAACGCTCTGGTTTGCCAGGTGGACAACGATCATAAAGAAGCTGTGGGCAAGATGGGGTTTGTCATGGTTGGTATGGTCCCAAGGTGTCTACTTACCCTTAACCCAAGCTAGCACAATTCCCTTGCAGCAGTCCACCAAATGCATCCAGCCAGCAATCCAACTGTGCAGTATCACGGGAGGGAACTAGTCTCCTAGCAGTGCTAACCTTTCCTAGAACCTATCCCTCCATGTGACATCTTTTACTTGCTTACCAGCACTGGAAATCATGATCTCAGAGATAGGCTGTCTGTGAGAGCAGGGAAGCAGCGTAACTTTATACCTCACCTCTTCACCACATCATATTATTTCCAGAACTGGTACCACCTTGTGACTAGCTCCTTCTGCATCTCCCTGAGTTTGTGACAGCTTCCCAACTCACATCAACCCATATCACTCACCTTTCCAAAGTACTGCAGAGGCCACCGCTTTGCTGCAGTTATACCACATTCCAGACTTTGTCATACAGATCAAAACTGACTTGACTGCAAACTCAACAGCTCGGGGACTGTGACATAGTTCAGCTCTGTGAATACTCGCAACATTGAACATAACCCAGTTCCACTGGTTTAGAGAAAGAGATATCAAGTAGGTTCTCTACAGAGGATCAAAATTGTGTATGCCTGCAAATTGGCTGTAGCCAGCCCTGCAGTACTACAGCAGTTAGTTTTAGCTCTGTGATTCTTGAACTATTTCTCACTGTTCCCCTTTCTCTGCCCACAGACAATGCTAAAGTTGATTCAGAAGAAGTTGGCTGATAAAACGGTGAGTGTTTCCTGCAAAAACATTATATAGAGAGTATTTTCTCTTCAGTCTGACTTAGGCATGGAGATCAGTCCAGAGTGCCAGCTCAGCTTCTCTAACAAACACAAGGCATCTTAGCTGATGCTACAGAATTTCCTGTCCCAGGGTGAGGGCAGGGCAATGTGAAAGGGAGGCAAAAATATTAAACAAAAAAACCACTTTCTGACAAGTTGAAAGTGAATAACAAGATTTTCCTACCTCTGGAGCCATCTATGGTGATACCAGAGAGGAAACAAAAGTGGTTGGTTTGCACTGGGCTCCTACATTAGCAAAGCTCTGTTTCTGTCCCTTTCTCTTTGGCTCTGTAGTGTGACCAGGTGATGGAGTTCTCCTGGAGTGCCCTCTGGAACATCACTGATGAGACCCCTGATAACTGTGAGATGTTCCTTAACTACAGCGGCATGAAACTGTTCTTGGAGTGCTTGAAAGTAAGTATGTCCACTGCTAAGTGGACATGCAGGTGCCTGGGCGGGATCTATAAGCAGTACTTCCTATGTTGCACAAACAAAAGAAAAAAGCTTGCATATTTTCTTCTTTCTCCCATCCATCCACCCAAATAGTAGAAGAACAGAGAAACTTACACTCACCACGTCTTCCTCTTTCTCCATCTTGTACACAGTGCCCCTTAAGTAGGGCAGCAGAGAACAATGGGCTCTGCCCTCAATTCTCTCATTTCACATATATCTTTAACACTAGAGGTTCCACTTAGCATCTGCTAAAGAGCCATTGCTGACTACCCACAAACACACAGCCTTTCTAGATATCCTGTACAATCTTTCTCCAGGGTTGCTTGTTCTCAGCCCTATGTTTGTATAATCCTGTTCTTTGCTTGCTTAGGAATTCCCAGAGAAACAGGAGCTGCATCGCAACATGCTGGGCCTCCTGGGCAATGTAGCAGAGGTGAAGGAGCTCCGCCCACAGCTCATGACCTCCCAGTTCATCAGTGTGTTCAGGTGGGTGCCTGGCTAATGAACAGCTGAGCTGGGGCAGTGTGAATGCTCTGGAGCTCTGCTCCTGAATCACCTGGAGACTTTTAAACCTTTGGTGCATCAGCACTTGTAAATGATCTCTTCTCTCTTGGCAGCAACTTGCTGGAGAGCAAAGCAGATGGGATTGAGGTATCCTATAATGCCTGTGGTGTACTCTCCCATATCATGTTTGATGGTCCAGAGGCTTGGGGTATATGTGAGCCCCACCGAGAGGAAGTTGTAAAGAGGATGTGGGCAGCCATCCAGAGCTGGGATATCAACTCCAGGAGAAATATCAATTACAGGTGAGGAACAGAAAAGTTTGGCCCACTCACCTAGGAGCCAGGTTTGTCACATGAAGCAAGCACCAACAGAGAGAAGGGAAGAAATATAGCTCAGCATGGAGGCTCTGTTTAGAGTGAAGGAGGAACACCCGTAGGGATATATTCTTTAGTGAGGGTTTTACATGTTCCTTAGAAAAAAATGTTACACAGGCTGCTGAAATTAGACACCTTGCCTGGCAATTCCTGTGGGATAAGTGCGGCAGCCCAACAGAATTTCTCCTGCATGTTTCTGGTGAAATTGCATAGTTCAGGAAACCCATGACTGAGTATTTGGGACTGCCTAAGCATTCTCCTCTGAGACTGCTGTCCTTTACACCTCTTTAAATCTGTTTGCTTCTGAAAGTCACGTGGATTGCTGTAGCTTTCACTGTTCTCTGGGGGATATTTAGACACAGTTCCCAGAAATCTCTTCAAGGGTTAATACAACTGGTGGAATCCTCCAAAGCTCTTCCTGTAAGAGGGTATCAGGTACTCTGTATTCTCTTAGTGCTTAGCAGACATCCAGAACAAATGGCATTCCAATGCCTGAGCTACAGTATAGACACATTATTGTTGTCAGAAGAAGCACAGCAACCATTGCACATGAGCAGCCAGCTTTGGCTGGGTATAATTTTGCTTTGGCCCCTCTACAGAAAGATCAGTGCTGCTGGGTTTCAGCTGCTGTGAGGAAATGACTGACAAGAGGATGGAAATCAGTTCTTGGACTCGGTTGCATTTGTTGCAGCTATTTATCTGGGCAGCATGTTTATGCTAAAGTGGTAGGACCTGTAAGCCAGCCAGTATTGCCATGTGACACAGACTTAGTCTTTGATGCCAGCATCTTTGACATGCCAATGGATTTACTGCTGTGGTATCTATGAGCACAGAGTTTGTATTGCTTTGAGTGGCAAAGGTGCTGAAAGAAGCAGCTCTTGGATTTTTAACAACTTCTGCAATATTTCTGTGCAGGTCATTTGAACCAATCCTTCGACTTCTTCCACAAGGGATCTCCCCAGTCAGCCAGCACTGGGCTACCTGGGCACTGTATAACCTGGTCTCTGTCTACCGTAAGTTCCCTTTTCAAAATCACATCCACTGCACTGTAGAAGTTGAGGGTGTGAATCTGAGCTGGTTAGCTGAAAAAGTCTTCCCAGCTTAGCTATGTAGGTAGAGAACCTTCTTTGAATATGCAGGAATGTGCAGGCAGCACAGCCAAACAAAAAACAATGAGACTTAGTGCATAGGAAATGCCTTCAATGTTTGATCCTTCTGGCCATGCTCTTATGTTCTCAGCTGTTTTGTGTCTGTCGTTTTCACAGCCAGGGCACACCTAGCAGGCTGGCTCCATAAAAAAGAAAAGTTTTGTGGCTTCTCAGGCCACAGGCTTCTCCTTCCCGTCTTGCCACCCTTTATACCACTCCTGTGAAGGTTTACAAGGACCTGTTTTATTCTTTTCTCTGCAGCTGACAAGTACTGCCCACTGCTGATCAAAGAAGGTGGGATTCCCCTTCTGAAGGACATGATTAAAATGGCCTCAGCACGGCAAGAGACCAAGGAAATGGCCCGGTAGGAAACCAATGCACTATCATCAAACATTCAATTAGCTTTAGTTTAGTTTTTATTCTTCTACATCAAGTAAGACTACCAAAGAAAGGCCTGTACTGAGGTGTACAAGAGGTAAGAAGCAAACATAGGAGAAGAGCAGGAAAAAAGAGGGTAAAACCAGAACACTAGAGAGGTGTTTATAGGTGGACAATACACACAGGTCATTCAGGGCTGATGGATGCCAGGCAGATTGGTTACAGAAGTGGCTTGTTGCACAGGGGAGCCACATGGCTAATTGCATGTCTTACACTGACAGTCTCCAGTCAGCACTATTCTCCATACTTGTGTGGGCTCCCTTGGCTCCACAATCATATTGGCCTGTCAGTAAAACTGCTAACTGCACAGTTAAAATGAGAGGATTTTTCAAAAGGTGGAGAGAGTCCATTACCTTTGTGAGCTTCCCCAACTTACTTTGTTATGTTATGTGACCTTCCTTTGGAGTCAATCTTATAGAGTTTTAAAAGCCAGCTGCAGTTTCTCATCTTTGGCAGACTGAGAGCTATAACTTCATACCTGCAGGATGAATATTAAAGAGCGGTAGAGATCGGCTGGGAATACATGCCTTGTGGGTGAGCAGCAGGCATTCCCCATAGCTGAAGGGTTGCTAAATGCTGGAGGTGACTGAAGCCTGCAGAAGACTCTCACAGTTAGGCAGATTGTATATGGTGATGGGACAGCGCAAGAATGGTAAATGAAAAGAATAGGAAAAGCAGGGACAGATGACAGCAGAGTGAAGGACAAACACCTGTATGCATGTGTTTCCTGATGTGATTCAAAGTTATCTGATGATTTGGATATGGGGGTGATAAATGAACAGTCACATGCAGATCTGGATGTATACTAACATGACTTGAAATCCGAAGGGGATGAACTGTGAGCTCTAAGCTGCTTTTGTGGAGTATACTGGTTTTGATGCAAATATCGGTTGATAACATATCTCAGAAGAGACTGCCTGCTGCAAATAGTATACATTTACATAGAGAGCAAGCTGTTGGACAGTTCTTACGTTACTGTCCCACAACTGTCATGCAATAAGCTTTAAACTAAACCCTCTCTCCTTGTCCTTGTTTTATCCATAGGAAAGTTATAGAGCACTGCAGTAACTTTAAGGAGGAGAACATGGACACTTCCAGATAGAGGCAATCATCTAATGCCTCTTGCCAGCACTGTATCCAGCTTCTCTCTAATTCACTGTATATAGGGAGGACTCTTTCTTACCAACTCGCCTGTTGGAAGGAAACTTTATGTGTGTGTGTGAGACCCTCAGTAGATGAAGGTGAACAGGGGAGGGGGGAGGGACTTTTTGCACAACAAAATGCTTTCCTTAAATTAGTGGACTTTTTTGTTATGAAGTTTCAGGTTGAAGTTCTGTGTGTATGATTTCTGTATAAAAAGAAAACAAAAAACAAAGACAACTACATTATGTATCTTTTAACGTTTTGATTTTAGACCACACAGAGAGCCTCAAATGATCATGAGCTTGAAGACCTAGTTGTGTGATCGCTAGTGTGACATTTTTATTTCCACTTTTTAGAAAATTCCCTTTTGCTGTATTGCATGAGGTCCTGTAATGTCTGCAAGAACACCAGTCCTGAATTGGTATTGGCTGCTCAATGGGGTTACAGGCAGTGATGAGTTATTTATTTGGTTAGAGAGGTTGGGGGACACAATACCAGAGAGTTAGACCAAAAGGACTGACCTTTTTAGTGATATTTGTAAGTGGAAGAAATGGGGAAGAAATATCTTTCAAGTCAATTCACTCCCTTAAGGGTTTTATTAGAGAAGACTCACATTAATGGAAGCATTGCTAACTGTATGTGGGTCATTTGGAATTAAGACATTCCCATTAGAGTCAAGAGGTCTGTTTTGTCCCCTTTGGTGGTACAGTAGGATCTGCCAGTCCACCCAGCCTTGTAAGGTCAGGTATGACCAGTAAAACCAGTTACACATCCTTAGCAACACAGAGCTTTTCTCTCTAAGGGAGCCTGTGCAACAAGGAACAAGGTTTGTTCACAAAGGGCTACACATCTTCATTCCAGTCCTTCACCACCTTTTTAGTTGTGTCTGTTTTATGGGGAAGGGCTACAAATGCCAGAGAGCATTCTTCCCCTCTTCATAATAAGCTCTACTAGGGCCCAGTCCAGAGCAGCTTGTACCACTTGTGCAAGTCCCAATAATGGACTGGAGCTGTTCTGCTCTTTTTTGCTCTGCATCAGTGGAAGCCGTGCTCAGTGGCAAAGTAATCTCTCTTTATAGGAAGCTCACTGCAGCACAAGTGCTGTAATTGGAGGTGCTAAAGTTCTTTCCTGAGACTGGGCAGTCTCCAGGCACCCTTTGGAGGGTGATCCCATGAAACAGCACCTCTTGTTCCACCCCAACATCTTCCCCCTCTTCTGGGAAGCAAAAGCCCCTATTCTTATCTGACTCCCACTAGCACTAACCAGTGCAGTCCTGCTTGTATCAGCAGTATTACTCCAATTTATGTGATGCAGGTAAGAGGAGAGTCCCACTAAGGTGGTCTTCACCTGTAAGACTCCAGACCTATAAAGGCTCAAGAAGCCAAAGGCCAGGGTTTGCCTCACAGCAGGGCACTCAACGACACAGTGTGCAGTCCACGCTTAGAGCCCTGTGTTTGCCACAGTTCTTTCACAATTCACAAATCTTCCCTTAGAAAAGGTTTTCTATCTGGTAGCAGTAAGGAAACCATGGCTATGTGAGTTGGGACATTTCAGGCCTCTGAGCACAGCCTCGCTGCTCTCTTCCCTTGTATACATTGCTCTCAGATTTGACTCGCTGCTATGAGGTTCTTCTAATGCTCAGAGTTAATGTTGTCATTGCTGAGCACATTATAGACAGATCCTAGATACACAAACTGACACTTTAAATGACAGAACACAGCTGCCCTGGAGAGGTTTACTTTTTCTGCCAATATGGTGTTATTCGATGTCTTTTTTTTTTTTTTTTCCTTTTTAAGCATACATCATTTGTTTTGATATTGTGAGATCTGTACTTTTTTTCTTTAAGTATTTTTCAAACTTATATATATTTTTGTGTCACTTTTGAATTGTTTTCATATGGTTTGCAAAACTTGACGAATTATACTTTTTTGCAGTCGTTTGATTGAAATGTATTTTTCTCTCTCTTATTCCTGTTCCCCAAGACTTTGCGTCCCTATGAGCTTTGAGACAGGCAAGCTTATTTCAAGATCTGTTTTCTGTATAACATTTGCTAATCTTCTTCCTGGATGCAAAACTAAGAGAGGCTGCAAGTACTGCCAGCCAGCCTCGGTGCATTAGGGGAGTCAGGCTTTGCTCATTTAATTCTCTATTTAGTGCTGCTGTCCTTTTGAAGTTGTTTCACATGACAGTGCCACCCACTAGGCTTTCTTCCTTTCTAATGCCCATATAGTGAAAGCTCCTGCCACTAAAAATCTTGAATCACATGACAAAGAGCACTCAAGATTCTGCCTATGTTGGCAAGGTGGGAGTGGGGCAGAAGGGGACACATCACAGATGCGAGAGGTATGAGAAACCCATGTTCCTGGAATGCAGCTGCCACACTGGGGAGACAGCTGGAGCTCAGGAACTCCCATCTCAGCTAGAGCAGACCTCAGCCTTGCATTGTAATCAGGCTTTACTCTTGTGATTTTGGCACAACTACATCAAGGTTAATGAACAACCCATGGCTTGGTTCCATCTGCCTCAAGACCCCAAAGGTTTGGGTTTTTCAAACCAGTGCCCCTATAAGTTCAGCAGTGACTGAAGTCTCACCTGCTGCATGCTGGACCATGGTATCCCAAACTAACAAGATCTAAGCTACAACAAACCTTTGTTTCACACTGTAAAGATAACCTCTGTCCTCACTGCTCACATACCCTCATCAAGCTATACCTGAGCCTGAATCAGGATAAAAAGATTTCAAATTCCCAGCAACATGGAGATTAATGGAGTCAGGCCAGCCTGCCAGAAAAGCTTAGCTTTCTGAAATCTGTCACCGATACCAGGGGGAAGGGGGAACTATAACTGGTCTGTTACAGCTAGGTACACATAAGATTTTGAGTCAGGCCACCAGCAAGGTAAATTCCTGAGAGAGCATTTCAAAAGAAATAGCATCCCTGCTAGAGTAACATGAACTTTGGCTACAAGCTTCAATGTCTTCAAGCCAACAGACTTTGTGAGCTGAAAAATAACATTTCCCTTTCGGTAAGGAGCAAAAGAGAGAAAGTTATCCTCTGAACACCTGAGCATAATCCAGGAATTCCTGTAGTTGGAAGTTTGAAACTAGTTTGTACCTTGGTTTCCCTAACTGAAACAACAGGAGTTGTTGCACTCTAGGCATAATGCATGTACCATGACCTGAAAGCACTCTCTGGAGGCAAAGAGGAGTTAATGAATTGCTGCCGTAGATCCAGCACTCAGGACAGAACAGGATAATTGTCTGCAGCCATCATACCAATATTCTGCAAAGGAGGGGAGGGCAAAGTGGCTGATTTTTTATGAAGGTCTAATGTAAAAGGGGAAGTTGGATACCCTGAAATGCTCAGCTGTTACAGAGAAGCCTCTCAGGCCTTCCAGCTTTGCTGGATCGAAGGAATGAACCAGCAGACTTCAACTCCACACAGAATTACAAAGCCAACGACCAACCCTGCCCAGAAAACTAGAACAGGGTTCTTCCTGTCAAATGAAAATCCAGCTGGAGAGGAGTTCATAGTGTGTAAAGATTCAGCAGAGGGGCTCCTTGTGCTCTGTAGTTGTTGTCCTATTCAGATTCTTATTCATGTTTTCACTACTACATTTCCTTTAATATTCAAAAGCTTGGCAAGCAGAGCATGAACACAACTCAGTATTTCACTGCAGAGACAGTGCCAACAAAGGAACCCTCTACCTTGACTGTATATAGTTTCCTTCCCAGCTGGAGGATGCCTCGTTGTTCAGTGGCCCAAGTCAATGATACAGCAGTCCTCAGCATGCAGGGTGTCAGGTGTCTGCCATTTTCCCCGGAACAGATAAGAGAGCAAATTGGTGAGCAACTTTCCACAAGTGCTTCCATTTTACAAGATCTGTGGGAGGAATTGCTTATACAGATTGGCATCTACTTGTATGAGGCTTAGCACCCAACAGCACCAGCCTTTCTTATCTACACCAAGCCAAGAAAGTGTAGCGCTGATATTTGTGGCAATTAGTAACACTGCAGATAATTCATCTGCACCATGGCTGTTAGTACTCTGCACCTACCTACTGGCTGAAATTATACCTGTTCAGCACTGAATGCTACCCAGCTTGTCACCTTGGTTGGGCTTCTGCTGCAGCCACTCTAGTCTCTGCAAAAGATGAGTGGGAAGAAAAGTCTTGGAGCTGTGAGCCTATTCCCTCTCACCACTTGAAGAAGGCAATTAATTACCAGTGGAGCAAGAGCTATAGGGGCACTGCATTCAGGCACTACTCCACAGAAAAGACATTTTCTTGAGACTGTTTAGGGAGGAGCCTGCCACAGCTCAGGTGTTGGAGGGTAGCTTGTGTTGGAAAAAAGAGAATTAAAAGTAGGGAAACAGCTGGTCTCCACGACAACAATGTGTATGAAGCACAGAGGGTAATGGTCATCAGGAATGGATGAAAAGCAACGTGGGGGCTGGATGAGAAGACGGCACTTAAAAAAAAGGAACGAGGGAGAGAGATTTCCTGCTGAACTGAAACACTTCTGCTTTAGCAGACTATATTTTCATTTCATATAATTGTACTGATTCTCTCTGTAATTCTTTTCTTGTTTAAAAAAAGTTTTTAAGCTAACCAAATATGTATTTCCTTGTTTTGCTTAAAGAAAATAACCTCAGTTATAATGAGCAAGCATCTGCTTTTACTCTGTCCATTGACCTGCCTAATGTTGAGAGGCCTGGTTCAAATGTTTGTACATGGTGAAACCAAGCAAAAAAATAATAATGCACAACTGTTGCTTCCTTACAATTCTGAATGAATTAACTTTTCTGTTGTATCCATTGGATACCCGCTGTGTATTAAACCTAGTGCTTAACAATGTCTTCTTCCTTTGGTCTATGAATGTGGTTTATTTAGGTACATTACTGGTCCATTTGCTGTCATATATTTCATTAAAAATGAAAGGAACTGCCATGTGTTGATGATGCAGTTCAGTGGCTTTTCCTTTCATCACTCCAAGGGATACAATACTGTTTGTCAATAGAAAAGAGGCGTGGAGGAAGAGAGTATTGTTAAGAAATTATGTGAGAGGAGAAAAAAAAAATCAGAACAATATTTGTCTGTACAGATTGCCTCTGAACTCTGTAACGGATCTGTGGCTTGCATTCCACAGCCTGAGCTTTATAAGTGGGCAGAAGCTGAGTGCTTAAGAAAACACTCTAGCTTAAAACAGTCAGTCTGCTTTGAGGCCAGCATGACTTTCTTCTTAAGACCCTGGTCCTGCAAGGGTTCAACTGCCGGTTAATTCAATGGTCATTGTAAACTCTAAAGGATCAGACTCTAGGTGGCTGAAGTAGGAGGAGGAATCACATGAAACTGAACTGCCTCTAGGAAGCTGAAAACGTACCATGTTGTAGGAGTAGAGAGAGATACCTTAGGCTTCCAACAGCATGAAATTCCTAGCTAGAATGCTGTAAGAATCTAAATTGTCTGCTCAGAAACCTGCTAGTAGAGGCTTTCTAGAACTAAGCCTAATTTCAACCAGTCATTTAGGTTGAAACCCTTGAGATAGAGATAAGCTCTGATCTCTGTAAAACAGGTTTCAAAGCTGTAAGAAAAGATAAAAACGGTAACATGCACCAAATCATTCTAATCACAAAGCGAGAATACATTCCGTAGGACAGATTATTCTAGAAAATAAAAATGTTTCTACTTTTAAGTGGGTAATATCGTTACTACTCAAATTGCCTTCATTAAGCTTTAACATTTACACCTCTCTGCAAAGAACGGAGAGATACTACCCACCTTTTCTTTCTGTTTGTAGGCAGCCTGATGTTACTCTTCCGAGCTTCCTACTGTTCTGAAAGGCTTCCTTTGCAACTCAAGGAACAGGAGGATTTTCAGGATATTTAAAGCAGGCAGAGTAGCAGGGCCATCTCACACACAAACTCTGTACATGAGGTTTGGCAAGTGCTGATGCAGTCTATGAGGTGTCTGAAGGAGGATTTCTGTAGGTTTTGCATTTACCTAGAATAAAACAAAAAACAAACAAACAAACAAAAAACACACCAGAAAGCAAAAGGATTTGAGTGATTGTTGGAAATTCAGACTACAATTTTTATTAACCTTTCAGCACAGCTGTCTCAGATAAACCATTTAAGTAACCTGTGCAGCCAGGTGCTTTCCTGGAATCAGCAGGTGGCCACCGGCTCGCTTTAAAGAGACTAAAATAATCAAGAATGCACCATTTGTGGTCAAACAATACCAAGGAATCAGCTACTTTTCAGGTGCTGGAGGATAAATTTGCAAAGAATGTGATTTTTCTTTCCAAATTTTTACTGGGAAAGAAGGTAACAAAAGCAGAAAGATACATCTATGTTAAAACTGAAAAGAGTTTAAAGAGAAAACATTGATTTCAGAATTTTTACAGGTCTGTGATGAGATTCATCTCCCCTAAATAGACAGACACTCAAATTGTAAATGTATACATCTAAGCTAGTCTTCTTGGCTTTTTTTTTTTTATTAGCAAGAGATAAAAACACATCTAAGGTGCAATTCAACTGCTTTCAGATGAGAAGAACCATTCTCTAGCCATGCCTGCTTCCCTCTGCTGCTGTCAGGGGAGCCAACGACCCCGCTCAGATGCGAACGTCTTCGCTGCAGACATCTGACGGTAGATCAAATCCCACCCCGGCAGCCTCCTACCAAAGTTATGTCAGGCACTTCCCAAGCTCCGTTTACATTCACAGGGCTACCTAAACGCGTTCAGCCAGGCACGACACGACCTCTGCCTTTCTCCCGAGGGGATGGAAATCAACAGATGAAATCATCAAAAGGGGCGAGACCGGAGTCAACGCAGTGCAGCATCTCACTCAGACGGCACCTCCAGCCCTCGCCTTCCAACAGCACACCCCTGCGAGACCCCTTCTATAGCCCGCATCTCCTTGTAGCAGTATTTGCCTCGGGTGCAGAGGAATTTTACCAGCCACCCTGCGCTCCCCGCAATACCTGCTGAAATGAAACCCAGCCGCGGGGCCGTGCAGAGCCCGGGGGTCGGGGTGGGAGGACAAGCGGGAAGGGGGGGGGGGGCTGAAGGAAAGCACCTTTCTCCTGGGAAAGGCCCCCGAGGTGGAGGGCCAGCCTGCAGGGCAAAAGACGGGCAGGCGGTGTGAGGGGAAGAAAGGCGGCCCGCGGGCCGCAGCCAGGCTTTCCCCCTATAAACGCAGGGCGGGGAGGAGAGAGACCCCGGTTCCCCCTGGGGGGGGGGGGGGGGGGCGATCCTGAGGTGTCAGCACCCGCCCTGGCCCCGCTGCGGGCCCTCAGCCCCTCCTCGGCGGTCCGGACCACCTCAGGCGACCGCCCTGAGGAGAGCAACCAGCCCCGCTTCCCGGCCAGGCCAGGCCAGGCCCCGCCTTCGGGCGCTGCCCGCCCTTCCGGGCCGGCGGGCGCCATGGGTGCCGGCGGGCTGTGGGTGAGGACGGCGCACACAGCCCTCAGCGGGGGCTTGGCGCTGGGGCTCTTCCTGCACCGCACAGGTGAAGCGGGGCCGCCGCTCCCCTCGCCTCACACCCGGCCGTGGCGGGGAGGGAGGGAGGGAGGGGGGCGTGCTGCCCGCCCCGGGGGAGGGGGCGGCCGAGGGCCGCGCCCCTGAGGTGAGGCGGCTCCGACCCCGGCTCGGGCCGCGCCGGCCCCCTGCGCCCGGGGGAAAGGAGGGGTGTTCGCCGCCCTGGCTCGGCTTCTGGGCCCTGCGGGGGCCCCTGAGGGCAGAGGGGGGGCTGTGGGGCGCTGGGGAGCCCCTTCCGTTACCAGGTTGTCCCCGTCGCACCCCACGCCCTCTGGCCGCCCGATTTCTCCCCTTTTCCCCCTCCCTGTAGGTGCGGGACCCCTTTGTTAAAGTCAGAGAGAAAAATCCTAAGCGCTTCACAAGGAACTACTGCTCTCTTTTTTGGGGGGGGTACCTTTCAGATTTTCAAAAGCAAGAGGAGCGCGGGGAGCTGCTGCAGCCACTGATCTTCGTCTTACTGGTTTTGTGCTCTGTCCTGCTGTACTTTAAGGTGTCTCTCATGGATCCGGGTTTTGTTAAGGCTGAAGAGGAAGCAAAGGTATAGCCCTTCAGGAATGGAAGAAAGTGGTGAGGCTGTAAAATCTATAGGCTTGCTTTCTTTTTCTCACTCTGCTAGATAAGAACAATCTGGAAGTTTCTGTTGCACTTGGCATAAAGGAAACATACACAGACCATTGGAGATTAGGCCAGACAGTCCCCGATTCGTATTCTGTAACAGCAATAGGGTTCACAGACTTCAGGCATGTCTTTTACACCACACTCCTGTTGCAAGTGCACTGTGCCATTTGAGCATAAGTCCTCTCTTGCATCAGAGGCTGCAGTACCCTATGGAATGTATACATGACCTATTTTATGCTAACCACCACCAAGTGGTACAAGTGCAAAAAACCCAATCTGAACAGCAAGCATGGAAGAAGGTGCTCTCTGCAGCTCTATTTATCGAACTGTTTATAGATTTGTTGCCCTCTCAGAGGACATGTACACAAACAAGTTACAGTGAAGTAAATGGAAATGCAAAGATTCAGTAACTGCGAGACAGCCTACTCCAGGTTCACTGCCTTACTGTTTGTGTAGAACAAAAGCATTATCAATTTTAATCATCCATCATTAATGTAAATCTTGGCTGTGTTATGGATAAGTGGCACTGCTTTTACTGAAAAGACATCATTATTGTCTTTGGAAGTAAAGTCTAACCTTGTTTATTTTTGTCCCAAAACATAGTGTTAGTATTGCTGTGGTATCTTTTCCACAATTATTTCTGCCTCTGTGTAAACGTTGTTTTGATGGTTACAGTAGCCTGTTCTCTCTCTCTGTACTTTAACTGTCTGCAGCTTCTGTAGGAATGCTAAGGCATTATTTTGTTTAACCTTCCTAATAACAGAGATAACCAGCACTGTGTAACTGTTAAGTAAAAGGATCCAGACAGCCCAGTCATGCCAAGACAGCTGCACACAAAACCTCCTTAGTCACTCCCTTTCTCTTTTTTTGTAGGCAGGCAAGAGTGAAGAACAAAGTATGGTGATAGCCCAAGTTCCAACTCATATTAAGATGCGGCGTTGTGGTTACTGCATGGTGAAGGTAGGCATTCATAACATACTAGAAAAGAATGGGATGAGTGATTTGCAAGCTTACATTTTTTTTGGCAACATCTTTGTTCAGCTGCTGTTGCCAGTGTTTTTCTGCTCTATCATTGCTGCTCACTGCTCAGTGGTTTGGAGGCATGGCAGATCTGATTAATTCTGTCAAAGGGTCACTCTCCTGCTGAAAAACTCACAGAAAAAGTAAATACAACTAGCAAATTGAATTCTGGTACAGTCCTGAATTGAAAAGTGATCCAAACAAATTGTGTAGCTAAAGAGGTAGTAGTGATGGACATTGGCATGTATGCTAGTTTTCCAAGGCTGAAATAAGTCCCTGCTGGCTCACAGAAACAAGGATCTTCTTTTGCCATGGGAAAATTGTACTCCACATTCTTACTGCCCTGTCAGTCAGACCTTACAGTATTGTCAAAAAGGTTATTTTGAAGATATCTTGATAGAGAGTCAGAAAGGCAGTTGAGCATAACATACAAGAACTGCTGGTAGCTGTGAGCTTTTTTGGAGGCCTAAAAACAACAAAACATTAGCCTGAATTGTAAAAGATAGTATGAAGGAAAAATTAGAGCAATTAAATTAGCTCTTAAAACAGTTTGCCTAAAGCCTAGAAAGGCCTGTTTTCAGAGTGATCCTTATCAGTTTAATAAAATCAAGCATTATCTCAGCTTCCATAAATTCCTGAAGAATATCTACCAGGAGAAGTGAGCTTATTGCAAGTGGAAAAGCTGGCAAAACATATATACGCTTCAGGAACAAATCCTAGGAGGCACTACTTTTCTGAGCCAGATCTTTCATCTTCTCTGTTCCTGGTACTTGATCTGCTTTCCTGTGCAAGTGTCTTGTATTCACACAGAAGCAGAGACACTTTCCTCCTCTATGCAGTCCCATGAAAACATCCCATCCCTGCTCACTTTATTTGACAGCAGTGGTCCTAGTTTTCCACATCAATACTCTGCTCATGCTTTCCTGAATAGACTGATTGGGTCTATCTCCCTCCTTTGCACACTGGACTTCCTATAAATAGGTAGATAATAAAGAAAATGTATAGATAGAAGTAGTGTGGGAGACTCATTTAATTTGAATCTCACTCATTTATATCTGTATCAGGGGAATCATGATCCCCTTTAGTTGTCTTAGCAATGTTTATGCTGTGCTATTATGTCAAAATGGAGTGCTTTTGGGACAGTACTGCTGTGGAGGAAGACTATATTGCATGATGTTCTCTTCTACCAAACAGTGAGTTGAACCAGTGGACTGTTACTAGTGTTTGTTTGGTTTTGTTTTGTAGCAACCAATGCGAGCCAAGCACTGCCAGCTGTGCCAACACTGTGTACGGCGTTATGACCATCACTGTCCCTGGATTGAGAACTGTGTAGGAGAGAATAATCACCCCCTCTTCATAGTCTACTTGAGTGTGCAGCTTATAGTTCTGCTGTGGGGAGGTCACGTTGCTTGGTAAGACCTGGAGTCAGCACTTTGACCTCTGAGACTGCTAAAAGTTTTGGTGCTTATAGAGCCCTGTGAAGGGTTTACGTAGAACATAGTGACTGGATTGGCTTTGGATTTGCATTGTATCTTCACCCTCTTTTGCATTCTGGAGATCAGCTTTTCTGAGTTCCCTAGTCTGCTGAGGGACAACTTAGCTCATCAATAGTTGAGCAGAATCTGATGATTTGGGTTTCATTGTTCATCTTTGTCTTAAGCTTAAATTAACAACAGTACAAAAGCTAACTAATTTTGCTTCAGTTACTGTAATATGATCTTTGTTTACAAATCAAAGTACTGGAGACTCCAGTGGGGTTTCACCTGTACACCTGCTCAGGAGAGGAGTTAACTGAAGAGGATTGTCTCTCAGCTGTCAGGGGAACCAGCATCTTTTAAACTTCTGAGAATCTAAGTCACTACTGGTGCAGTCTCTTAAGAGTTTATAGTATATTAACTCTCTGTAGTACATGATTATCAGAAGCTCACTAGTTATGAGTCAAACTTAAGTATGACATCAGGTTTGCTTGGCTTATGTAACTAGTTCTACATCTTTAACTGTGAATTTATTTCTCTTTGAATTGAAAGGTCAGGCCTCTACTTTGAACAGTCCTGGGACTGGCTGCAGCACAACATATTCCTCCTCATGTCCTTCCTCCTGATAGTCATATTCACCATTGTTGTCCTGCTGCTGCTTATGTCACACCTCTATCTGATCTCATGCAACACCACCACCTGGGAATTCATGTCACATCATCGCATCTCCTACCTGCGACACTCTGAGTTGGAGAATCCCTTTGACCAAGGGGTAGTCCTCAATTTCTGGAAATTCTTCTGTTCATGCCACCTCACTACATGGGAGAAAATCTACTTTCACAGGAACGATGAGCCTGTCTAGTCATAGTAGTACCTACCTGGTAGAGTGCCAACACATCTGCAGGTTGCTAGGTAAAGCTTTGCTGATGCAATTGCTGCTGTTCCCTTGCACGGAACTTTAGTACATCATGAACTATGCAACCTGTTCATCCTGCACATTACATTTCAAGGATAGTCAGGGTTATTTTTGTATACAAATAACACTGTTAAAGGGGAGACACTGGTTCTGGGAAGGCCAGCAGAGCTGATTTCTGGAGTGAGCAAAGGTATCTCTCTAAATTTACTTCCTTTTGTTAACTGCGTCCACATCTCTCCAGAAGAGATGCAAGAGTAGTGTGAGCATCCATGTTCACTTCTCTTTCCCAAAGTTTCCCTCTCCTTTTGCTGCAAGGGAGCAGCAGCTATTAGAGACAATACCAGCCAGAATCAATATAATTCCTGTGGCCTTTCTTCAACATAGTTCTCACTGTGAGAACCATAGTGCCTTTTGTCAGTAGTGTTGGACATGTAATAGAAATATTTGAGTAAATATTTGGACAGTCAAAAGCAAATTTCATTTTGACCACATGCCTCAACTTAATGCTTTTCACAAAGATTTGAGGCTTAATAACGTGCATGAGAAATGGCTGTAAAGCACCAAATTCAGCTTATGAGATAATTAGCCTGTACTTTGTGATGCCCTGACCAGCTTCATAACAGTTTTTTCTTCAAGTTGATGGTGTTGTTAACAATTCACAGACTATTTTGAATCAAGTCAGCAAAGAATGATACCATCCACTCTTCTTTGGACAGAAAAGTAATAACTTGCCCACTGAATTATTTCTGCAGGTAATTTCATGCTCAGGCCTTTACTGTAGCTTGTGGGGTGCGTACTTCTTGCCTAGCTCAAGTAACACTGCTGGTAATACTACTACCTCAACATACTAGTAAAATTTGAATAAAAGAATATGAAGTTTCAATGCAAGAGGAAAGATTTTAGGTTCTGTTTGTTTCATTGAGATGAGGGGATGCTGACAGCTTTCTAGGACAGCAGCAAGCCTACTTGTTTTCCATTGTAATAAAAGGTCATACTTCCAAGTTTCCATGAGGAACTAAAAGGAAGTTTGGGGTGACCAATTTTAGCTTTAAAGACAGAAAAGGCTCTGGTGTGAATTTTAGTCTTCACCCTTTTCTGTTTAAAAAAAAACCAAAAAAACAAAAACACAGCACTACAACAAAACCTTAGTTAAAATTATTTTGTGCTTTAATTGCCTTGGCTCAGGAAATAACACCAGCTCAGGAGCACATCTGGCAAGCTGGTAAGATGCACTCACGGTTTAAAGTTGACAAGCACTCATGAAAGGACAGTATAGCCACTAATACAGCACAATAGTCCAAAAGCAGCTTAAAAACAGCAGAAGGATCCCTTTTTTGACCAACTCCAGAGTTTGTAATCTGTGTCCAGTCTGGCTTGTTCAGGGTAGAAACTCTTATCAGAGGGATATCGGAACACTAAGAATTATTTTCATAACAATGGTATACCTTCCAGAAAGGATTCTAAAGTTTGTTTGTGTCAGTGTGGTACCTGCTAAAGTATGGCTCATCTGCCACATAACAATTTCTGGTTCTTCAGGTATTAGTCAAATAAAAATTTGTCAGCAGGTACTACAGCTCAAAACATAGTTTTGCTCTGGTAATTCTTTTTAAAATGCACTGGGATGGTAATTTACAGTCTTTTTTACTATAAACTATAAATTTAAAGATTAAGTATGACTTTTTTGGTTCTTTATGCCTCTCTCTTTGAACCCAAGTTCTACATTTCACCTGTGCTAGCAATCCACTGTGCTACTTACCACTTTTCTTAAGGTCAAGGCCTCTGTAAAGTCACAAAATGCACTGTAGGGGCCAACAGCAAGCCAACCATTACTATTCAAACAAGAGTGAGGAAAATGTGTATCCTGCTTTAAATGGACCATTACGCTGCAAGGCAGAGCAGGAGGTTGAAAGGATATTTGTATGTGGGAATTTTCAGAAGCAGTTATACTTGGCCCTGATAATAGGAAATTTAGGTTCAGTGTGAATTATTTCTGTTTTGCACAAACATAGCTCTTACCTTTCTACGTTGTGAAGTGCTTAGGCCAGCCTTGATTTAATAATGATGACTCACTAGCTGCACCCAAACCTTATCTCCAGATATAGCACAACTGTGTTAGTTCAACTTCTGTCTACCTCTGTTGATGACAAGCTGAAAGAGTAATAGCTGTGCATCCCTATTTGTTGTCAATGTGATTCTTTATTTCTAGATAGCCTTCCTTTTTTTGCCCAACAAGTTAACACTATGAATTTAAGAGAAGAAAATGTATTTTATCAAGTATAATTACAAGATATGTTACCAGGCAAATGAAATCACCTTTAACTTACTGATTTTCCAATATTAATACTGTCATTATTTAGCTATCCCAAAAAGATACAAGATATACACATTGATAAAATCTGGGGAGAAACAACTTGACTGCAGTCAGTTGTACATGACAGCTGATGACACCATGCAATATGTACATAGACAACTTGAGTGAGAAGGAAGGAGGAAAGAAAATATTACTATTGACATTTACAGAGAAAAATTAAATCCTGCGTGTTGAGCAGAATATGGTTAGCCCTGATCTGAAACATTCAGCTAACACAAAGGAGATGAAAAGCTGAAACTTCATTATAAGGAAAGGTATCTTTATTTAAAAAAAAAAAAAAAAAAAAAAAAAAAAAAAGCATATGCAAAGCTGTGGCTTTTTTATATTTTTAAAAACAATAGCTAAGATTTAGCATCCTCGAAGAAGTAGAGAGAGACTCCTTTTCCTTAACATAGATCACTTGGATCATTATCAAACCTGAACGTCCTTGTCTTGGTTGTGTTAAAATCCATCCCTTCTCTGGCATACACAGTTATGAGTGGGAATGGGCATAAAATCATTACGAAGAGGGAATGCTGCATATCTTTTCTAGAAAATAGGTGAGAAGCGGCCATTCCCTGTGCTACTATGCAACTTTATAAAGCTGTGCTACTTAGTTTTTTTGCAAAGAGTAACCTGGGTTGCAGAGATGATTTGATTTCATTAAGTCCAGCTTAAATTCCAAATTGCCATCTATATTCAATGGCAGCAGAAGATACATCCAGTCAAATGTTAATTACTCCTTAAAGATAATTGACATCTAGTATCCCTCCAACAAATGAGGCTGAAAAAAAACACAGTAGGTTAACTCAGCTTGCAGAACACTCTCATCCTGGGGTCATCAGCACTACCAGTTCTATGAATTCTGTTGACTTTTCCATTGCCCGTGCCAAGCCCTTTCTACCCTCCCTCAATGTGGTAACAATCTGTTCGTGTTTCTTACAGCACAGGAATCAAACATCTAAAAGGTGTCTGGAGACAAAGTCAAAGTCCTTGAAGACAGTCTGCTCCTTACGGGTTAGGAGAGCAACCTCCTCTGGAGGAGTAAGGATTGGCTTTTGTGATGTAAACTCTTCATCAAAGTTGCTGATGTCGGTCGGATCTCTTAAAGTGGGCACAAAAGGGGGCTTCAGAGTCCTGGCAAACAAGGCATCCCAATCAATTTCCTGTAAAAGAAGGTAGTGAACAGGCCAGACTGACATTAAGATTATTTATGAAATGTCAAAGTAAGAGGGAGGATTGCAGCCTTCCTTCCAGATCATTTGCCACATGTCTTATTGAAAAAAGGCCCAAACCAAACAGCATAGCTGGTGCAGGCCAGGTAGTACAGAGATTCCATACAGTCTAAGGCTGTTCTTCGGAACACCAAGAAACAGTTACAGCTCAAACTATATTTAGGAAGGAAAAAACTGAAGGGCAGCTGTGACCTGGTGTATCTGTGGACTTCCCAGCAATTTCTGCTGACATCCAAGTTCTTCTCTTGCTCCAGTGCAAAGCCAGCCAGGGGCTATAAGGCTAACAACTTCCGGCAGATAGGTAATGACTAGGAGGAATGGTAACACCTTTGCCTGGAACAGACGTATACCCTTGACCCAAAGCAAATGTGTCTTTAACCTCAATTTCTCTTAGGATTCATGTATATCCCGCAAATACAGGTGCCAAATAGACTGACTGGCAGTCACTGTCATCACTAGACAGCATCTGTGACTGCTGCAGTTTGATTTAAAAAGGGGTGTTTGTTGATGGCTCAAAAGGTAGGTACATTTGTATGTAGAAGCAGCACAATCAGAAATAACAAACTGGCTCTGGAAGCTTACAGATCCTACAAAACACACTTGGGGGATGTCATTTCAAACATGAATTGAAACACATATTCCTGAATAGAGCAATGAGGTGCAACAGAAGCTACCACTAAGATCTCACTGATAACTTACGAAAATATGCCTCAATACCAACAGAAAGCAAGTCACTCTCAGCTCAAACACAAGAGATGAGGGGTAGGGATAAAGTGAGTTCCTACCTTAAAAAAGGCCTGGATTTTAATCTCTTCTGCATCTTTTTCCCCAGCTCCCAGTCTACGTTCTGGACATTTCCGAAGAAGCTGCAGGAAATATCAGTTAAAAATTAAAAAACGGAAACAAGGATGGACAGAAATAATGTTCCAGATAGAAAGCCAAAAGAGAGGAGATGGACTGACTCCTCAGTATCTTCTCATTTTCACTTTGCAGCAAGGCCATAATCTGCTAGTAACAGCTCAGACCTAGTTCCTTGTAAACAACTTGCCAACATCAGTAAGATACCTGCTATAAACTGCATGAAGCATCCCATCTTAAGTGTGCACCTGTGACTACTGGGTCACATTCAAAAACTGAATCAAGCCATCTCTACTGAATGACTCTGACTCTCCAGCCCTTGAATCAACACTCCTTCATTTCAGAGTTAGCAGCAACAGCAAGAAGCCTGCTTAGTCATCCTTAGACAGAAGAATAGCATTTATGTAAAGAGAAGGAAATGAAAAATATGTGTAAATTTTAAATGTTTCCTTAGTCTGTGTAGGCAGCTCCAGATTACACACACAAATGCTATCCAGTCTTAATAGAGTCCCTCTGCATCCACTTACACAGTAAATGCAAATTGCTCAGGCTCCCAGAGACCCATCAAGCCCGTTACCTTACGGATTATAGAAAGTGCCTCAGACGAAAGGAATCTTGGATACCGGACTTCATCATTGACAATACTGTCAAAGACTTCTTCCTCATCATCTCCAGGAAATGGTGACTGCAATTGTGACATTTTATTATTTAATCCATAGAGCACCCATTCTTCACTGGTAAATAGGGATGAGAATAGCAGGGAGTTGTATGGATTAATTAATGTTTGGCAAGCACTATGAATGAGAAGAATGTAATTTAAGTACTAATAAATAGTTGGCTACATTCAGCAAAATTTTATCTCAGGTGGTCAGGTACTACTCGCCCCAAGACTGCTTAACAAGATCCTCTTAGAGAAAGGTAGCCTTACCTCACCAACAAGCATCTCATAAATGAGTACACCCAATCCCCACCAGTCTACTGCTCGAGTGTATGAGATGTCCGTCAGGACTTCTGGAGCCAGAAATTCAGGGGTGCCACAGAAGGTGTTTGTGCGGTCTCCAAAACCTATTCCTGTAGGAAAGGAACACTTTTGTAAAATCCAGCACACATTACTAAATGGATCACATGCAGCCTCACCTTCTGAAAGCCATGGTTTATCACTTGATAATCTAATGCTGTTAACTGGTTCTCATCAGTGCTTGTAAATGCCAATAAGGAAGTATGAAACCTGAGACTCCCTAACAACTCCAAATAAGAAATATACAGACAATGCTTAAATAAACAGCAAAACCAAGGAAACTTTCTGCAGATTCCATGGCTCATTTACTCAAGTACGCATTTTGTAGTATCCTATATTCTGGCTCCTTTGAACAAGCAAGCATATTGCAAGCTCCTTTGTAAGTTTCCTGAAGTACTCTTTCCAAGTTCATCATGGCCAGACAGATGAGGTTTGTTGTTTGTTTTGTTATATATTGTTTTGTTTGTTAGGGGTTTTTTGTTTGTTTTGGTGGGTTTTATTTTTAAGATGGGGATGAATACAAGTTACACACAACCACCTCAGTACCTGTATTTGTGAACACATTACTAAAGCCCAGATCCTAAACTGGTTCTGATGATTCAATTTCAGCTTCACCAAAGTCACTCACCTTCTTTACACAATCCAAAATCTGCAATCTTCACAAATCCTTCAGCATCTAAAAGGAGATTATCCAATTTCAGGTCCCTGCAGGCAAAAGAGAGGAAAGAAAATGGTGGATGAAGTCTGAGGATTGCCATCCAACCTCTTTTTTTTTGCAAGAGGCAGAAGCTAGGTATTAACAAGGAGAATAAAATCTAAATTGAGTAAAGTCTACACTTGGTTTAAATAATGTATTATTTGGAAGATTCCCCTTAATTTATTGATATTTTCCTCTTAATGAAAGGCTCAACAAAGCAGCCTGGAGTTGGGTGCGGCTTATTCATCTGGAAAAGAGCATCCCAC